GGGTGGAGAAGAGGAGGAAAAAAAATCGGGATGTACAAAGGCTGAGTTGCAGGCTGGGGGTGGGGGTGGGTTGCGGTTGAGGAGCGATAGGTTGAGGAACGGAGGCATTATCTGTGGGATCTATTGTTTCCTGGCACACTGGGAGGAAAAACAAAGGGATTTATTAGCATTTACCCTGTAATTTTTTTTCTTTTCCTTTTTTTAATGTGGTCGGGGAGCGCGGCTCTCCCCGTGCCACACTGGGATCCGCCTGGCAGCCGCCGGGAGCTGCAGCCAATGTGTTAGGACTTCAGGTGCTTCTTGGCACAAAGCTAGACTGCGACCTCCTACCATAGCGCTTGGCGTCACCTGCTCTCCCGGCCCTGCCCCGGGGCCAAGGGACTGCGTCCCGAACCAGGCTTGGGAATCGGCTGCCTCTCAAGTTGGTGTTATTTATGTTTGTCTTTTGTGAGGGCAGGTTTTGAATCCCCCGGCGGCCGCATCGCCCCCGCCCCCGCCCCCGCGGGTTCGAATTGGCGGGGGAGGGAGTGGGGGGGTGTGTAGGGGGGAGGGGAGGGTGTGTAAGGCTTAAACAAATGCCAGGGTAAGAAGGAGATTGTCGATGCTTGAACAAAAAAAAAAAAATAACCAAAAAAAACAGGCACCACACTCTAAAGCTTTTCTTGTTTGTCTGCATGGGCCATGCATGCGTGCTGGGCCAGGAGCCGAGTTTGGAGAGGGCTTAAGTGAAAGTGTGCTTCCTCATCGGATGGTGCGTGAGGGTGATAGGGCTCAGCCTAATATTAGAAAACAAAACAAAACGAAAACAAAATGAAAAATCTTTAGAAGTACATTGTCTGCTCCTCAGCCGATCTTGAAGTATTTGATTGCTGGCATATTGATGTAATATCCAGCTGTGGGCTAGAGAGGACCAGCAAGCATGCATGGCGTTGTGTTTTTGAGCTGATAGTAAGTTAGAGGCAAGTATAATAAACAAATCAGGGCTATGAAAAGAGGTTTCATGGTCTGTTTACTTTCTGATCGTCACATTCTCATACATTTATTCCCATGATACTCTACATCCCACTCTGGAGTTAATAATATTCACTCTTAGGAGACTTCCAAATATTTGATATGGTTTTGAACTGAGAGTGAAACTTACTGCCATTTAAGAACTTTATTCTGCTTGTTTTGGTCTGAAATTGAAGTAGTGTTGCTTTGGGGATGCGGTAGATGAGAATATTGGACTAGAAAGAGTGAAATAAGCCTCTGTAGGCATGTTTTGAAGTTTGTAAGCATAGGTTCCAAACTTTTAATTGTACAGAAAAAATAAGTTCTATCTGATGTGGAGAATCTCAAATGAATTTCATTTTCTCTGGACAGTTTGATGATTTCTTAAAGATCTAGGAACTGCTGGTTTCTTTTAAGATCATTCACAAAACCAACCAAAACTTGGGCTAAAGTATTGCTTTCAAGCGTACTTATGTGTCACTTGTATGTGTGCATGTGTGTGATTTTGGTAAGAGTCTCAAGTTTTCAAGTTTGAAACAATTGTTACCAAAGACCAATCAGAGTTATATAAGTTTGAAATTCTTGGCTTTGAAATTCCAATTTCAATAAGTAATTTCTTCTGTTTGACCTGTGGCCAAGCCACTTTGAAAAGTGTGTATTAGTTGACTAAACATAAATTCAAATAAGTAAATGAAATCAGAAATTCATTCTTTTCTGTTACAGATGAACCTCTAGTCTTGCTTTGAAAAAGCCATTTTGTGTAACTCTTGACTGAATAATTTCCTAATACACCTGTTGGGAGGATCACTGACACAGTATGCCATTTGAGAGGTACTTTTTCTTGACCAAATACTGGTGATTAGAGAAGAGAGGTGTTCTGTTTTTTGTTTTGTTTTTTCCTGATCATTATGAACATTGGCTTTTCACTCCTGAAGTAAAAATGTTGAAAACCGAGTCTTCAGGTGAACGTACCACTCTCAGAAGTGCCTCTCCTCACAGGAACGCATATAGAACTGAGTTCCAGGCACTGAAAAGTACCTTTGACAAACCCAAGTCAGATGGGGAGCAAAAAACAAAAGAAGGTGAGGGCTCCCAGCAGAGCAGGGGGAGGAAATACGGCTCCAATGTCAACAGAATTAAAAACCTATTTATGCAGATGGGTATGGAGCCCAGTGAGAATGCCACAGTCATTGCCAAAACAAGGGGGAAAGGTGGACCTTCATCCCCTCAGAGAAGAATGAAGCCCAAAGAATTTCTGGAAAAAACAGACGGCTCGGTTGTTAAGTTGGAGTCCTCTGTTTCAGAACGAATTAGTAGATTTGACACAATGTACGATGGCCCTTCATATTCTAAGTTCACAGAAACTCGGAAGATGTTTGAGAGAAGCGTGCACGAGTCAGGACAAAACCACCGCTATTCCCCAAAGAGAGAGAAAGCTGGAGGGAGTGAACCTCAGGATGAGTGGGGTGGTTCCAAGTCCAACAGAGGCAGTACTGATTCCTTGGACAGCCTTAGCTCCCGAACAGAGGCTGTCTCCCCAACTGTGAGTCAACTGAGTGCGGTATTTGAGAGCACCGATTCCCCCAGTGCCATCGTTCCTGAGAAGGCTGAAAACAACGACTACTCAGTGACTGGGCATTATCCCCTGAATTTACCGTCTGTTACTGTTACGAATCTTGACACCTTTGGGCACCGTAAGGATTCGAATTCTTGGTCTCCTCCACGCAAACACAATGATGCTGCAGAGGATGCTCAGAAGAGTCATACAACTCCAGTACCAGAAGTAGCTTCGAAGAGTACCTCTGTGGCTTCCGTGCCTAGTGAAGAGGCACAGCAGAGCAAGGAAGCCGAGGACTCCACATCTAACCAGGAGACTCCTGACAGAATTGACAAAGACACTCCTGAAGAACCTTGTGCTGAAAACAAGGCAGTGTCAGAGCCTGAAATCGCTTCACCACAAAACGAACCTTTAGAAGACGCAGAAGCTAATTTGGTGGGGAGCGAGGCAGTAATGCAACAGAAGAAAGAACTTGCAGGTGGTGATTTTACCTCAGCTGATGCTTGTAGATTCAGTTGTGGAAAGGAAGCACCCAGAGATTCAAACAATTTTGAGAGCTCCCATGTTTACATGCACAGTGACTATAATGTATATAGGGTAAGATCCAGGTATAATTCAGACTGGGGAGAGACAGGCACTGAACAGGATGAGCAGGAAGATAGTGATGAAAACAGCTACTATCAACCTGATATGGAATACGCAGAAATCGTTGGATTACCAGAAGAAGAAGACATCCCAGCAAATAGGAAAATTAAGTTTAGTAGTGCTCCAATTAAGGTAAGTATGTTTTCTAAGTTTGTTTTCAGAGTTTTTTCTAAGTTTTTATAAAGTATTTGGGCCTAACTGTATGCAGAATAGATTTAACAACTATAAAGAATTCAAGGTTGTTGGGATACATCTGTTGTCAGGTGATTTTAAAAGTTTGGAGTTGGAGAGAGAGAGCCATATATTTACTGATGTGCTTTATAGTTGTATGTATAAACCAGTGCTGAATAATATTAAAGTTGAGGAAGCCTGGGGATTGTGAGATACATTCCAATGGATTGGAGTATGAATAACATGAACACTGAAAACCAGGAGTGTTAGTTCAAAGAGAAATTACTCCTTTAACTAGTTTTGCCTAAAATTACCCATAAATAATAAAATTATCTGAATCTAAATACTGTAGGATATGAGGTATAATGTACAAAGGGAGAGCTGTGATAACCTTGAAGTAATATTCTTTATTTACTTGCTTAAAAATTTGGGTTATCCCTTACTTAAGTATAAGTGAACTGTAAAGAATGTTGGAACTTCTTTTTTTGTACTGCTTCTTGGTAGTGAATGATTCATGGAAATATATTAGCGGACTTAAATACTTTAATTGGAAAGCTATGAGTCTAAATAGCTTTGAGTTCAGAATTTGTTTTGTAGCTTTAAAATGAAATTGTGTGAAAGGAAGTTAAATTGATTTGCCATTCATGGATTTATTTTTACCCCTAAAAAACTGGATAAATGCCAATTGAATTCAGATGCTCTGTTCTAATGACTTCACTTAGTTAACATTTGGAATAGAAGAATAGCACAAAGTACATCCACAGCGGGTGGTGAAACGTTATTAGCTGGTAATGGCAATGGGGCAGGAGGTGTTTGGTTGCGTATCAGAATCTCCTGGAGTGCTTTTTCACAGTGTACTTGCACACAGGCTCCGTCCCAAGATTCTGGCATGCCCTCCTAGGGGAATCTGGAGGGTTGTGATGGCAGAATATGTAGTTTGAAACTCCTTTTGAGGGGCTTCTAGCTTGCACAGTGTGTGTATATGATAGATTTGGAATTTGATGTGGTGTCTTCTTAAATTTTCTCCTTAAAATCTAAAGTCACCGTCTCTTGTTATTGCCATCTTATAAAACTTTCAAATAAGGCTGTAAGATATATAATTTACAGAGCAAATAGAAATAAGACCTTGCTTTAATCATGAAATCCTTTTTTGAGATAAAGCCATAATCTATGAAATTATTTACAGGTGTTAACAAGCAAACTATCCTTTCGTTAGGGTAAAGGAAAAGCCCTGGGTCAGAACGGGCCATGTCAAGTTAAACTACGTTTAAAGTAACTACTAGAGACGTGAATCTGGTTTCTAAGTAAGCTAGGTTTCTCTGCTACTGTTTCCCACCCTCCTTTGTTATTCTCCCCCCACCCCCTAATAGTAGGCACTCTCTTTAGAGGTGCCTTTCTCTCAGGCCTGTCCAGCGAGTTCCTAAATTTCTAAATTTCACCATTCATGTCCCATTTGCAAGTGCTCCCGTTCATTTGAGCGTCATCTTTTTACCCCTTAGGAAGAAAGCAATCAGATTAAATTGTTACACATCTAGCAAGGCAGGAATAACTAAAATGAACTCTTCAAGGAGTTTGTTAAAACCAGTGACTGACTCCCTAATGGGGATAGCAGCTTATGAAAATTTATCAAGTAGAACACTACTCACTCAACCAAATGGGGCATCAGCCTTGTATTTGGGTTCTGTGCTGCACAAAACATAACTGCACAGTAATAGGTTTAATGGATTTTAAAGGATTTATCTTTGAAATGTGGATGTTCATATGTGAACAAATCAGGTTTTGGGGTATGATATTTTGAAATTCAAGTGACTTTTTTCCTACCATTGCTTATAACAATAAACATTTTGCCTCTTAATTTTCACATAGTAGAGTATTTCGTATAGCAAAGAAAAATAGATTATATGCATTTAAGTTTAACACATTTCATTAAGAACATGGATCAAACATCAAATTTGTGAAAGACAATGCACTGTATTTTAGTGGGCTGTTAGCGGTACTAGTTGGAGTGAATTAAGTTTGCAAACAGAAGATTCATTCTTAGCCCTTTGTAATGAATAAGACAATTACTCTTTTTTGCTGTTCCCATTGTTTAACTTGTAAGTGGATTCACTTAGAAATTTTGAGAGCTACTTTTCTACTGGTGGTGGTGGTAATGATAGTGTTTAGATTATTCTCCAATTAAGATTTTTGTCTCAGAGAGTGGTAATAATTAAGTTCAGTAAGTGTTTATTGAAGGCTTATCATGTGTCTGTTCTCATGCTGTTAGCTGCAGAGGACACAAAAATCTATAAGGTTACCTCTTTCCTGTGTGAGCTTGTAGAGTCAGTTCTTAAACACATGATATTTAAAACCCATGAAACACAGTGTAAAAACCTGTGCTGAAGTGTCTGATGTCCTACGAGTACTCTACCTATTCTTGGCTGCGCAGAGTGAACAGGATTTGATAGATCATTCGGAAGGGAATACACTCAGCCATTCCTTATATGTGTTTCCTTATTCTTTTTATGAAGATTTATTTATGGAATGAGAAGTTATGATTCTAAACCTAAATCTTTTCCTTTGAAGCTTAAACATGTTCCCTCTTTCAGAAGTAATAGGGAGCATATTCCTTACAGAAGTGATCTTTAGACTTTTACTTTTCTGTTATTCTCATCTTATTCTTCACTAGATTAAATATTCTCAACACTTGTGGTCTGTGTTTTAGATCTTGTTTATGATCTTCATGTGTGTGTTGAAGTCTTCAGTTTCTATTTCAGTTCTTTTATAGATGTTTTAAATAGTTATTTCCCTAAAATGTTAAATATGGACCTAGAAAAACATCAAAATAATAACTGATCTTTCCTGCGCTGCATATTCTTTATATATAATTGTTGGTAACTTTCAGAAATGGTCAGATTGTTTCCTAATAGATTTGGTTAATGTGTTTCATAGTGTCATGGAAAATTAGAATGGAATTAATAATAGAAAATATAAAATCCAACTTCAAGATATGTAATGAGTGCATATTGTGAAGCGTGCTAATTTGAGATGGGAATTATGCTTTCAGTCTCAGGAATTTCTCAAAACTAAGGGATCAAATTAAATTTGTCTTAGATAAATCAAAGATAGAAAGGGTGACATTTAAAATTATTTTCTCTATTGAGTCAGAATATTTACTGAGTCCTTACTATGTGTCAGGAACAATGTAAACGTAATAAATACATTAGATGACTGGAGCTGATCAAGTCAGCAGCCCGTGGTGGGTGGGACATGTATAGCCCATTAAGGTCACTTTTTAAGTGGTTTTGCTCAACTCTGATCTTGGGTGATCTTTCTGAGATCATCATGGCTACCTTGTTGAGGAAGTCATTACCTTTCTCTGTTTCTGGTACCCTTATGTCCCTTGGATTGGTGTTCTTGAAACACTGCATATCTGAAAAAGGTTATTTTCCTATTTCCCAGCAAGATGAGATTGCAGGGTTAATGTCGAGATACATCATGCTGTTATACTTTTTGGAGTGTTTTTTCAAGTTGTGTGGAGCTTTACAGAGCTAGGTTTCAAAGGTGAGTCACCAAGGGCAGCAGTGCTTCTCTAAGCCTACATGGTAGTTGTTGAAAATGGGTCCCTTAGTATTTGCTCCCTCTTTTGGGGCCCTGAGTTGTTGTCTGGGGGTGCATGAAGCCTTTTATTCAGGATGGCATTCCGAGATCCAAATTTCTGTCTTTGTGCAGCTTTCCCTTTCTAACAGTCCTGCTTCTTAACTTAGATTTGCATATGAATCAGTTGGGGATCTTTTAAAATGCGTATTTCTGATTCAGTAGGTGTTTTGTGGGAAATTACCTTGATGTAATGGTTAGCCTCCAAGTACACTGCCAGCTATCCCGGAGGTATGGAATAGACAAGCCCAGCAACCAAATTAAAATGCTTGAATCAAAGGATTTATCAAATCAGTTTAAAACACGCAGCCAGAAGCAAGAAGAAAGCCGTGGTGGGGGTGTGGGGTAAGTTAACATACTTAAGGTGCAGACAAGGTTGTAAGGAAGGAGCACACTACCTGAGTCCTGGGTCCGCAATATTCATGTGCCCCTCTCTCTCTCACACCAGCCTTTCCCATTGATGATGTGATTATGAGGACTAGAGTTGAGATTTTAGCAGGAACTCCACGGACTAATGACACCTGGGCTAATGATACATAAGTGCCATGTTGAGGAGAGCAGAAACAAGTATACTTGGTACAGCGGTAGCTTTACCAGTTTGCCTGCCGATCAGCCATGAGTGTTGTTTGCGTTTCTGGGGTAGAGCACCTGTGGGTCCAGAAGAGGATCATACTGGGTGTCCTCAGTGGGTGGCTGATGTGGAGATGACATAGCTGTCAGTCCAGAGATGGCACGATAATGACTTGGGCTTTCTACCCCTTTCTATCTACAAGTAGACTTCTTATTTCATCATATTTTCAATTTTGGAATGTCTTGCAGGTTACTCACCTATTTTTTAACATATCTTATGAATTTTTGTCTTGGTTTTAAAAGCTCTCATTATCTTTACTTAGTTAAGTCTCTGAGTATTAGCTTATTTATTTACCATCAATGATTGTCACTTCTTAGAGTTTCATCCAGTCGATTTATTTATTGACCTAACAGATTCTGAGGTTCTCAAATAATACAGCAAACTTACAAAACAGTGAGTCTGGGTGAGATTTTGCATTTCTAACAGCTTTCAAATTGGTGCTGATGCTGCTGGGTAGCAGTCCACTATTTGAAATATGATTTTGAAGAATAGTCTGGCTTCTGAAAGGAGCTGGACACAAAATGTTGGGGAAGCTCATTTAACAAATTTGCTTTACAGATGGGTCTGCTGTAGCTGGTTGTGTGGAATAATATTCTCTGAAGACGAAACAGGTGTCAACTTGTAAAGTGCATGAATTGCTCTGTTTCTGGATTCCAAAATGGATTATGATTCCTAAATTCACAAGGAGCTTGTG